GCAGGTGGTGCTGCTGGGAGTGCTGAGCCTGGGGGTGCTGAGCCTGCGGGTGCTGGGCCTGGGGGTGCTGGGGCTGCGGGTGCTGGGACTGAGGGTGCTGGAGCTGAGGGTACTGTGCCTGAGAGTTCGGAGCCGGTTCTGGACACGGTGGTCCTGCTGGTTCTGGAGGTGCTGGCGAGGGGAGGTCTGACGCTGCTGGGGCCTCTGGTGCTGACGTCGCCGACTCTGGGGGTGCTGCGGCGGAGGGTGCTGGTCCTGGTGCTTCTGGTGCTGCGGGTGCTGGAGGTGCTGGCGGAGCTCCGCCGTCGCGCCTGTTCTTCGCTCCTCCGTCGCCGTCGGCTTTGCCACCGCCTGACACGGTGCTTCGCCAGGTTCTTTCCCTCCCGTCTTCCACTGGCCTTCCCCTCCAGCCTGGCTCCCCCCTCCCTGCTCCTGTGCCTTACACTGCACAGCCGGACTCGCTTACGGAGCGTCGTGAGCCTGTGTCTCGTCCTGCCTCGCCTGTTCGTGCTGCTCGCACTGCTCGCACTGCGCGCACTGGTCCCACTGGTCGTCGTGTCGCGCGTCCGCGTCCTCCTCCTGTTCCTGGCACGCATATTATGGCCCTTCGTCCTTCCACTGGTCCACAGCGTGTCCCCCTACCGTCTCCTCCTGCGTCTTCTCTTCCTGACGTTCCCGACCCTGAGTCTGACAGTGTTCGTGCTGCCCACCCTACTGTTACGCGTCTTCTCGCCACTGTTGTCACTGACCCGTCGTTTGAGTCTTCTGCTGCGTCTGCCCTGGTCGCTGAGCTTGTCGACTTTGCTGCTGCCTGTCGCCTAGACTACGCCGCCAGTCTTGTTGCTGAGTCTGAGTCTGTCTGTCCTCCGTCCGTCAGGGGTGAGTGTGCTCTTGGCACGGACGTCCTTGAGGACAGGCAGGAGGACTTTGACTCTCTTGCGGCTGCTGTACCTCATCTCGTGGCCTGGTTGCTTGCCCTTGAGGGAGACCCGGATGCACTAGACATCCCCACTCCGCCTCTTCTTACGCAGAGGCGATCTCGGGTCCCTACTCCTCTCAGTGGCAGACAGCCATGGACGCAGAGATGGCATCCTGGAAGTCCACAGGCACCTACGTCGACGAGGTTCCCCCTCCTGGGGCGAACATCGTCGATGGCATGTGGATTTTCAGGGTGAAGCGGCCGCCAGGTTCTCCACCTGTCTTCAAGGCTCGTTACGTTGCTAGAGGCTTTAGTCAGCGTCAGGGGGTTGACTTCTTCCAGACCTTCTCCCCCACCCCGAAGATGACCACTCTTCGGGTTCTGCTGCACGTTGCTGCTCAGCGTGACTACGAGCTTCACTCTCTTGACTTCAGCACAGCGTTCCTGCAGGGCAGCCTGCACGAGGAGATCTGGCTGCGCCGCCCACCTGGCTTTACTGGGTCGTTTCCTCCTGGTACCCAGTGGAGCCTCCGCCGGCCAGTCTACGGTCTCCGCCAGGCGCCACGTGAGTGGCACGACACACTGAGGACTACACTTGCGGCTCTTGGGTTCGCGCCGTCTACTGCTGACCCGTCGCTGTTTCTGCGCACAGACACGTCGCTGCCGCCGTTCTACATTCTCGTGTACGTCGACGACTTGGTCTTTGCTACTGCTGACACAGAGGCACTCGCTCGTGTGAAGTCGGAGCTGCAGAAGAGACACACCTGCACTGACCTGGGTGAGCTGCGTAGCTACCTTGGCTTGCAGATCACCCGAGACAGAGCACGCCGCACCATTACCCTGACTCAGTCACACATGGTGCAGCAGGTCCTTCAGCGCTTCGGCTTCCAGTTCTCCTCACCACAGGCCACACCTCTGGCTACCAGCCACTCGCTCTCAGCTCCACCTTCGGACGAGTCCGTAGAGCCGAGTGGCCCGTACCCAGAGCTTGTAGGCTGCCTCATGTACCTGATGACTTGCACGCGACCTGACCTCGCGTACCCTCTGAGCATCCTTGCTCGTTACGTTGCGCCTGGGAGACACAGGCGAGAGCACTGGGAGGCTGCTAAGAGGGTGCTGCGTTACTTGTGCAGTACATCAGGCATGGGGCTGGTGCTTGGAGGACGCGACAGAGTTGTCCTCACTGGTCACTCGGACGCTTCTTGGGTGGACGACTTGGCTACGCAGCGGTCGTCGCAGGGTTACACCTTCAGCCTTGGCTCTGGTTCTGTCTCGTGGCGGTCCACCCGCTCTTCTTCTGTTCTCAGCTCTAGTTGTGAGGCTGAGATCTACGCCACGGCCATGGCTGCACAGGAGTTACGCTGGCTCACCTACCTGCTGACTGACTTGGGAGAGCGGCCTAGTTCTCCTCCAGTTCTGTACGGCGACAACAAGGCGGCCCTTGCCTTGTGTCAGGAGCACAGACTGGAGCATAGGACGAAGCACATTGCTCTTCGCTACTTTCTTGCTCGAGAGCTGCAGCAGCGAGGTCAGCTTCGGCTTGTGTACGTGGACTCGAAGGCCAACACTGCTGATATCTTCACCAAGGCGCTCCCGCCTAGTGATCATCAGCGGCACTGTACTTCTTTAGGCCTTGTGTCCACATTCCCTCATTTGCTTACTGCTTGACTTTCTTTGTACTGTACTTTATATATATCTTGTTGCTTGCTTGCTAGGTTTTGATCACTGTGTTGCTTGTCTTGTACTATATCTAGCACTGCATGTGAACTGGCCTTGTGGCCTTTGCTTGTGCTCGGAGTGTGGTGACGTTGTGATCCACCCTGGGCTTGCGTTGCTTTGCTGGACTGGTCTTGTGACCCTTTGTTCTCCCCCACTTTGCCTATGGGGGTGTGTTAAACTGTTATATGTTGGTAGGCTGTAGTGGGGTAGCCAATATGGGGTACAACCCCAACTAGGGTTTGCTACTTGTACCCAACTGTTTCATTCAATGCATCATTCTTACGCTAGTATTCTGATATTTAGGTGCCTTAGTAGTTTAGGTTTTAGGGTGTAAGGTGAATGTCGAGAAAGTTGAGAAGGAGAATGATGTCACTAGCAAGAGTTGGGATACAAGTACACCACCCTAATTGGGTTGTACTCATTACAGAGTACCCCACTGCAGGCTAGACAGCAAATACATTCTGACACACCGCCATGCCAAAGTGGGGTGTAATCAGTACAATAAGCAAGCATAGAGCAAGAGTTCACAATAGGTAAGTAAGGCTAGAGCTAATCACAGAGGGCAAGTGAGGAGGAGGAGAGACCGTGGGGGGGAGAAGATGGGAGGCGACTGCTGACGCTGCAGACAACAGACAAGCTGCTGGCTCAGTGGCTACCGGAACAGCGCTCCGGACTACTGGGGTAACTGGCCCCGCGGCTAAAAGTAGCGGCAGACGAGCAACGGACCCACGGGCGACTGGCGACTACCGGAGATTGTAGCCTCCGGACTGCTGCTGCTGCTGACGACAAGACTGCTGCCTCCACTCAACCTCCCCAGCTGCCTAACGCCCCTCTCACACACCCCCTGCTCAAACCCTAGCCCTACACCCACAGCACCCCCTTAAACCCTAAACCCCAGACTCCCACACATCCACCCCCCTCAGCGAGAGCTGCAGCAGTGGGAGACGAAGGAGGAGGAGGAGGAGGGGACGGCACGCACAACCGACACCCCACAACCAGCACCCCCACACGGCTGCACCGGGTCCAGGAGCGGCTGCTGCAGGGGCCAGGGGGCGCTGCTGCAGTGGCGGTCGCTCCAGGGGCTGCTGTTGCTGGGGCGGCTGCTCCAGGGGCTGCTGCTGGGGCGGCTGCTCCAGGGGCTGCTGCTGCTGGGGCGGCTGCTCCAGGGGCTGCTGCTGCTGGGGCGGCTGCTCCAGGGGCTGCTGCTGGGGCGGCTGCTCCAGGGGCTGCTGCTGCTGGGGCGACTGATCCAGGGGCTGCTGCTGCTGGGGCGACTGATCCAGGGGCTGCTGCTGCTGGGGCGGCTGCTCGCTGTAGTGGCGGCGGCTCCAGAGGCTGCTGCTGCTGGGCGGCTGCTCCAGGGGCTGCTGCTGCTGGGGCGGCTGCTCCAGGGGCTGCTGCTGCTGGGGCGGCTGCTCCAGGGGCTGCTGCTGCTGGGGGCGGCCGCTGTAGTGGCGGCGGCTCCAGAGGCTGCTGCTGCTGGGCGGCTGCTCCAGGGGCTCCCGAGAGCGCCTCGACGGGCGACGGGAGGGGACCGCGCGCGGGCCCCGAAAGCGCCGCGACGAGGCGACGGGAGAGGCCTGCGTGCGGGCCCCCAAAACGCCGCGACGAGGCGACGCTCGGGGCCGGCGCGCAGGCCCCCAGGACGCCGCGACGAGAGAGGAACCCGCCGCGCGCTTCGGGGCGCACAGCGGGTAGAAAACCGCCACGCGCCCCGAGCGCGTGGCGGGAAGAAAAATAGGAGGTCGCGCGCCACGGGGCGCGCGACACACAGAAGGGCAGCGGAAGTAAGTGGGCCCACAGGCCAGGAGCGTTAAGCTCTGATAACATGACAAAATACTAGCTTGAGTTTGGCTTAGAAGCCATAGTTTAGGTGCCTTAGTAGTTTAGGTTTTAGGGTGTAAGGTGAATGTCGAGAAAGTTGAGAAGGAGAATGATGTCACTAGCAAGAGTTGGGATACAAGTACACCACCCTAATTGGGTTGTACTCATTACAGAGTACCCCACTGCAGGCTAGACAGCAAATACATTCTGACAAGTTTCATCTGCCTGGCAATGCAAGGCTATCCAATCCAAAACGACACATTCGGGCTAACTCTCTCACTACCTAGTGAGCCTGATAATTGAAGTAAATAATCTAACAGTGCAAAAATTCCTCCTAATACCGTACCTAATATAATGTGGAGTAAGGGCGTGTCTCACTCTTCAGACTGGTGGGTCATGGTTCAAAGCGGTGGAGCAGAAAACTGCTCTAAAATGCACGTACGGTAAGTTTTCTCCACCGCAGAACTTGTGGAATACGCCGTAACCCACTCGGCTGCACTACTCCCATTTATCAATGCGCTGCTCTGCCAGTCATTCTCTAATCACACTTGGAGCGGCACTTCTTTGCCTTTCTCTTGCACTTCTTGTACGTGTGCGTGCACTTGTGGTGCTTGTGCTCGTCGTCTTTGTTGTCGCGCTTGCACTCGCTGTACTCCTCGTTGCACTCCTTGTTCTTCGCCTCGCAGTCCGACTTGCACGACAGCTCGCGGCGCATGTCAGGCGACCACAGGAACCGCCTGCTCGCGCCGAAAAGCTTGCTCATCAGATCTGGAAACGGGGTGCAAAAGAAAACAGAATGAAGTCAACGGATAAAAGAAGGAATCACAGGAAGAACGGAAGCACAGGAACCCCTGCTCCCGCCGAAGTTTGCTCATCAGAACTGGAAACGGGGTGCAAAAGAAAACAGGCTGAAGTTAACGGAAGAGCTTGCTCATCAGATCTGCAAGTGGGGTGGAAAGAAACAAGATGAAATCGAATCGACGATTAGCATGATGTAAATGAGGGAACCACAGGAACCTCATGTTTGCGCCGAAATTCACGCCAAAAAAATCGTGAGAGCGAGGAAAAACAGGGCGAAGGGGCATGGCGGCGCCACTGAGCGCGACATAATGACCCACGCACCAGGAAGCGACGCATCGGCGGCGGGAATGGCGGCGTCCGACACGTCGTCATCGTCGGCGTCTTCTGGCTCGATCGTGAAGATCTCATTCGCGCGACACGTCGGCGCCAGCGCGAGCGACACAACCAGGGAGAGCGCGAGCAGGGCGAAGAAAAGCTTGGAGCGTGTCATGATCCCTAAGCCGCCGGTTGCTGGATTCACAAGGACGACTGGAGAGGTTGTCGCCAAGTAAGATTATTCGCAAGGGTGGTGCCTCGGACAGGAAGAGAGGGTGAGATAACTGCGTAACGCGTAACTCCTCTGGTAGTAGCCTGGGTGAAGCTTCAAAGCTTCTGTTTGGGTTAGACGGAACTGGTACCGACTAAGATTCAGGTCCTGGCTTTTATAGGACCATTGCAGCCTCTGTTGCACGAGCGTACATCGTGATAAGGAAGGTTTAACGGATGGTCGGTGATAAAGTAGGTTTAGCGAAGCGACTGGTCGGTGATAGGTAAGCCTGGTGTGAGATATTTTTGGTCGGCGTTAGGAGCAGGGGAGCGTACCATGTGCAAGGAAGTGCGTGTGAAGCAAAAGACGCAGGGTGTGTGGGGTGGGTAGCTTGCTTGGAGCATTCGAGTACGTGGGGATGGGAGCAGCACAAAGCAAGTAGTGAATGTGTGTGTGTGCTGCATGGTTTGCGATTGTCGTGATTTGGGGAGGAGAAAAGGGTGAATGAGAGGAGGGTGCGTGCTTACATTGAAAGGAAATGCATCCTGGAGCGCGACGCGGCCTCGATGTGCAGATTTATTATTCTGTGCAATTTTTTATCCAGTTCTGTTCCTCAAATGGGTTTGTTGAGTTCGTTGTTCATTTATATACAAAAGTCTATTCTACATGTGTGGTGTGTTTATCATTGGTAGTGGAGAGTGGAATATATGAGGTGCCATGAATGAGAATAATATTTTAAAATAAAGCTGTTCAAGACTGAGAACTTGTGTTGGAATAACCGAAAGGTTATAAAGGCATTCCCGAAGATGCTCCTCTGTACTAGTACCGCATTAGCTCATATAGAGCACGCGGAATCTCGAGGGTCACCCGAAGGTCAACCGTCTAAAGATAGTCAACGGTCGTGACCCTTGACGATCCAGCAACCACGCGACAGTTAACAGACTGCAACACGGTAACTGTCGAGAATAGCAATAGTCGTGGTTACTGTAGCTATATAGTTAATAAGGGAATGTACCCCTTATCAGAATACTAGCGTAAGAATGATGCATTGAATGAAACAGTTGGGTACAAGTAGCAAACCCTAGTTGGGGTTGTACCCCATATTGGCTACCCCACTACAGCCTACCAACATATGATAATTTTTAAACACACATAGTGTTTTTTAAAATTACGTATTTCGAAAGCGCAGCTGACTGTAACGGGAATTTGGCATCGTCGAAGCGCGCTAAACGCCCATCTCCAACTACAAATCGTGGGTTGGAGTTCATTTCCCTCCACCCACGTCTCTCATTTTTCAAACGGCTCATGCAACTCTCAGTTCCTCGAGCTCATTTTTAGTTTTCCGTTCAAGCTGGCTAGAACCCGCTCTCTACCGAGAGGCGTTTCACCTTCAACATTATTAGCCGACATTCTCAACCACAACGCCACGACGATGGCTGCTACGCCGACACTTAACCGCGCGAACAACACCGTCGTCAACGACCCGATTAATTCCGACAACGATCGCAATGCCCGGGAAACGTCGGGCGAACGCCGCAACAAGCGCCGGGCAGACGGCGAAACGTCCGCCCCTACTGCCGTCGACGTGCTGCTGGGCGGGCTCGAGGTCAACAAAAACGCCGAGCGGCACCAGCAGCACCCTTCGGCGCCTGTGGCGCCTGTTGCGCCAGTGGCGCCTGTGGCACCTGTGGCGAACGTGGCGCCACACTCTTCTGACGCGGAGCACGCGCCTGAGGCACACGCGCCCCTCAGGCAGTCGCGTCAGCGCCAGAGGCGCAGGACGGCCGCCTCGTCTGACGCGACCGTGGACCCTGACTTGACCGGGGCGTTGACCCCGGACCAAGTCAAAGCGCTTCTGTCCCTGTTACAGCAGCGACCCGCCAGCGTCATTGAAGCCGAAACTACACAACCGGCAGCATCGATTTCGGCTAAAAACGAAAATTCGAAAAAGGAGAAGGGAGCAAAAGGAGCGCCCACACGCCGTCACAACAAAGAAGCAGCCACCGGCATTCCCGAAGCCGCAGCCGACAATCAGGACTCCGACGACTCAGACAACGACGCTGGTGAGGCTCCAATCAAGCAACAAATTTTACATCCATGGAAAATCTCCCCCCCCTTCCTTCCACCACCCCCACCTTCTCGGCCGCAAACTTCATGAAGACAATCGTGCGCGCGAAAGCGGAGCCCCTGGAGGACGTGAGGGCCTACCTGAAACACGCGGAGTACAAGCTGCAGCACGACGACACGGCGGGCGGACTCGAAATGGTCGTCAACGCCCTCGACTATATTTCGGAGCGCTTCGTGATGTTCCAAGTCGAGGACCACACCGACGACCGCGTGGCGAAGCGATTCAAGCTCTACCAGCAGAAGAGTCTCCTCACCTCCCGCCCGTTCAAGCAGGCGGTGGCTGACGTGGCAGCTATGGATCGCGCGGAAGGCGCGTACGCTCGTTCCCACCGCGGTGGAGGGCACGGGCCGACTTCATACACCCCAAAGCGGGGACCGCCGCCCACGGGTGGCTTCCATGGCTTCCGTGGGGCGTGCTTCCGTTGTGGCCAGCCGGGTCACATGGCAAGTGGCTGCCCGAGAAACGGAAACGGTGGCCAAGGACCCGCACCCGTGGTGTAGGGGCGGGCCTTGAGCGATGACGCCTTGTGCGCGTGGCACGGTGCACGTCATGTGCAAAGACCGTGGGCAACCCAAAGGGGTTAGCGGTGGCGGTTGGCCAGCCCTAGTTAGGGGTGATTAATAGGCTAGAGGCCTAGGATGAGGGGGAGGGAGCAAAAACCTCTTGGCCCATTGGTAGTAGCCCATGCGGTAGGGGCGAAGGCATGCTAGGAGCATGGCAATGTATGGCCCGGTTTATATACGGGCGGATTTATTAAGAAGCATTTTTTGACTTGGCTCATGGTGTGACAAAAAAAAATAAAATAAAATAAAATAAAATAAATAAAGCAAAGGGGGGGGAGGAAAGAGAGAATAAGCGGAAGAAGAAGAGACAAGGAGAGAGGGCGGAGCAAAGAATGGCAATGACACTTACCATATGACCCCAATCAATGACCTTTGCACTCATCGGACGTGCAACCATTGCTTTGGCCAAAGGGCCAAGAAGCATGACCCGACTAAAGGGTGAGCAAGAGCAAGAACAAAGGAGAATTTGTGTGTGTGCGCACGTGTGTGTGAGAGAGAAAAAGAGGGAGAGAGAGGGGGAGAGAGAGAGAGAGAGAGAGAGAGAGAGAGAGAGAGAGAGAGAGAGAGAGAGAGAGAGGGAGAGAGAGAGAGAGAGAGAGAGAGAGAGAGAGAGAAGAAAGAGAGGGAGAGAGAGAGGGAGCAGCCAAGATAAACAAGGAGAGGGAGAGGGAGAGAGTCGAATGGAAGGCACGAGGCATGAAAAAAAAAAAAAAAAAAAAAAAACAACTCGTGATCACATGACCGTGCGGGAAGACTCACACCCGCTCTTTGGTTGAGGGATGCAAAAAAAAAAAAAAAAAAAAAAAAAAAAAAAAAAAAAAAAAAAAAAAAAAAAAAAAAAAAAAACGAGGGCGTACAATGCGGATGTAATTGCCGACAAATGATTATTCGAATGGGTCAATGCGCATACACCCATCGCATGCACCTACCCTTCACACACGAAGGATGTGTATCATATCCATAAGAACCTCAATTTGCAATCCTGCCCCATTGTCACTCCGCAAACATGCAGAGGCAACAAGCGAGGAGATGTTAGACGACGATGATCCGTACGAATTCGCCGTCACAGACAAGACCGTCACGCGAATGCGCGGGAGGCTTCGCGCAACCCTTGTATGGTGGAGCTCGTGGTGCCCAAGTAGCCTCATCCTCTCGGTCATCGCCAATGGCTACTGGCTACCATGGAGACACAACCCTCCACAACCGTTTCACGAACGCAACCATCTCGGCGCACACACACACGCGGCATTCACGCGCACGGCCATTCGCGAACTGACGGAGACCGGAGCGGCGGTCGTTACCCCGGCAGCGGAGCTTACATGCATCAGCCCTCTCAACGTGGTCGAGCAACGTGACAAATGCAGGCTTATTCTCGACCTTCGGAAAGTGAACGAGCACCTGATCATTCCGAAATTCAAATACGAGGGATTGAGCCGCGTCGCCGACTTGGCGCGCATAGGAGACTGGATGTTCTCCATCGACCTAAAATCCGGATACCATCATGTCGACATACACCACTCTTGCTGGAAATTCCTCGGCTTCGAATTTGAGGGGCGCACGTACTCCTTTCGCTCACTGCCCTTCGGCCTCGCAACAGCACCGTTTGTCTTCACACAACTCATCAAACAATTAGCCAGGCGCTGGCGCGAACAAGGCATTCGAGTTGTTCCCTACGTGGACGACATCTTGTTCTTATGCACGTCCAAGGCACATGCACAGGCAACATGCCAGATGATAATCTCGGACCTCAAGATGGCAGGTTTGGTGATCAACGCGAAAAAATCACAGTTGTCCCCGTCACAACAGCTGCGATTCTTGGGCGTCGAGCTGGATACCAACTTGGGACAATTCTCTATTGGCACCGATCGACGAGCATCACTTCATGCACACATTCAGAATCTATTGAGCGCAAGCAAAGCACGTCGACAGGTTCCAGTCCGCCACCTCGCCAGAATCACGGGCACGCTCGCGTCAATGGCTGTCGCGCTAGGTGCTACGACTCGCGCGTTCAGCCACGCCATGCTACAAACGATCAACGACGCGCCGTCCTGGGGAAGCAGTGTGAGCATTTCCCCACCTGTGGCGGAGGAGTTGCAATTCTGGCTCGAGGAGTTTGACAAATTTAATGGCGCACCATTCCACGTCCGGAATAGCTACGACGCTGTAATCCACGTGGACGCCAGTTCCCACAGTTGGGGTGCCACTTTGCTCACCTTCCCTGGCGAACTTGAAGAAGCCAGTGCAGCCATGCCAGCACCACTGCAAGCAACGTCCAGCACCCGACGAGAAATCGAGGGTGTCCTTTGGGCCATCCGAACGTATGCGAACAAGGTCCAACAAAAACACGTGCTCGTAAGGGTGGACAACCAAGGGGTCTTCTTCATCCTTCGCAAAGGCGGTTCCCGCACCCCCGACCTGACCACCGCCTGCAAGGACATTATCCGTATCTGCATGAAGCTCGGCACTCGACTAATCGTCGAATGGATCCCGCGAGAGCTTAACTCCCATGCTGACGAGCTGTCAAAGCTGATCGACCAGGATGATTACTCTTTGAAGCAACCATGGTTCCGGATCCTTGATCGCCGTTGGGGACCGCATTCAATCGACCTCTTCGCCAACCATCACAACACGCAGCTACCACGATTCTGTTCGAAGATCCCACACCCCAAGGCTACCGTGGTTGATGCATTTTCATGCTCGTGGACAAACGAGAATGGCTTCGCGTTCCCACCACCCCAACTGATCCCGGCAGTCATCCGCCACGCACAACGCA